CAAATTGATGTTTAATTTCATTAAGGTGAGATAGAAAGGTTGAATCCATTTTCCTTAATTTCCAGTTTCTAGAGTGTTCTTTAATTCTCGTTTCTATAGAATGCCCTGTTTGACCTATATGTTCACTATCACGGTCCTGATGTGTTGATTGGTAAACACCACTGTTGCTGTACTTTTTCTTTTTGTTGGCTCTTTCACCTGGTTTATGGATGACAAAATTCGATGTCCCAATGCCTACCTTCATATTTCAATCAAGGAGTCTTCACGGCGTTATCTCCGCTACATACATGACAACCACATTTGGTCCTCTTGCATTTGGCCATACCTGTTATGTCGGATAGTCAGATCCTTTTCACATCATCTTCACTCAATAATTCTCACTCCCCAATACATAGACGACTGGCTTCTTCTTGCTCCTTCCCACCACTTGGCAGAACATCACACTCAAACTCTGTTATCAGAAGCTACAAGAGCTGGTTTCTTATCAAAAAGGAGAAGTCTATTCTTACTCCCACATGGTATCTTGTCTGTTTAGGGGTGTTTTTCAATTCCAGACTAAGTCAATCTCAACCTTCTCTTTACACCTTCATCCATGGAACAACTAGTTCTTGAAACACAATTGTCTCTTTCTCCACCAGTGCATGCAGTTCTGTCTCTTTAGGGATGTAGGCATCCTTGGAATCACTCTTTCTTTTAGGTCTGGCTCACATGTGGACCCTTCAGTGGTCGTTACAGGATGTGGTGGATTGTCTGATGGTCCTGTCTGCTTCCCGATTGCAAGATCTCAGCTGGTGGTTAGACAGGGACAACACAACAGTCAGTGTCCCTTTACTGCCACCATGTCCTGAGATACATCTTTTCACAGATTCTTCTCTCCAGGGCTGTGGCACTTGTATAAAGAATATGGAATTCAAAGGCCTTTGGACAGAAGAGGAAACTTCTCTTCACATTATGTCTCAGGGTTTCGAATTGTTGCAAGGGAAGGTGGTAATGCTTCATTCGGTTAATTTCACTCTGGTCTCCTACATTTACAAGCAAAGGGGCACTCACTCCAAGCCTCTTTGTTTTGAGACATTGCAGCATCTCTTTTGGGTCCACAATCATCAGATTGTTTTCCTTGCTTGTCATGTTCTAGGTGTTACGAATTTTAGTGGCCAGTCAGTTTTTCTCTTCCCACAGGATGGATGCTTCATCCACAAGTCTTTTGTTGGCTCTGCTTTTGTCTCTGGACTTCTCAGATAAGTGCTTTTGCCACTCACTGGAATGCCCAGCTCCTGTCCTTCTCCCATCCCTCACCTTCTGGCTTTGGGCATAAATGCTCTCAGCCAGGATTGGATGGGTCTTCATCTTTATGTATTCCCTCTGATTCATCTGTTATCCAAGGTTCTTGCACTGATTTGCTCCTTGTCTTATTGAGTTCTTCTGGTGGTGCTGTATTGGCTGAGTCAGCCTTGGTTTCTACTCTTTCAGTATCGTGCCAATCTTTCCGACTTCCTGTCTAGCCATCCCTCTTACATCAACATCAGTCAGACATTCTTTATTAGGCATCCACCATTCTCTGGCTTCATGCCTGGCTTTTATGTGGTACATTGCACGACTTTGGGGAGTGACCTCTCAGGTGGCATTCTTCATTGGACATTTATCAGTGGAAATGGTTTAATTATTGTCAGTGGTCTCTCAGACATGGTTTTAATCCTTATCATCCCACTGTGCCATGTTTCTCAATTTCTGACATGGTTACCGTATTTTTCGGTGTATAAGACACACTTTTTTACCCCAAAATTTGATGTCAAAATCTGCTTGCGCCTATACACTGAAGGTATGAATAACATATATGTATATATACGATATACACAAGCCATGTGTAAATATATTTAAATAGGCATGCATAGTTTAGTTCAGTTGAATGTGTTATTTATAACAGTAGTAGTTTTTTTTCTTTTAAAAACATAACTATTTATAATGCTCCCTAAATAATAAAAAAATAAATTACAGTGAAAGCAATGAAGATTTTGTAGGTTTTGAATCAAACTAAATAACAGTAAACCTTTTTTTGATTTACGATATTTTCTTATTTTGATGTTTTGAGCTCTTTTGTGTTTAGAACAATATATATAAATTTTTAAAGTATCAAATTGAATTTTTGTTCAATAGAAATCTTTCAAATGCGACTGTAGCTTTTTTTTCCCCCAAAACTTTGTCTTCAAAATAAGGGTGCGGCTTATATTCCGAAAAATACGGTATTCAGCAAAGGTTTGGTGTCTTCTTCTGTTTCTCTGGATGAGGCAGTTTTGTCAGCTACTTTTTGTTTTTCTGGAAGATGCAAAGTTTTTGAGTTCCCAGTTTTGTCCTTGTTTCTGAAATCTTTTAGGATTATCCGCCCTTGATTTCCTTTCCAGGTTCCTAATTGGAAAATCCCAGTGGTTCTCTATGCCTTATCTCATCCACTCTTTAGCCTTTAGCATCATATTTCTATATCACCTTTCACTTAAGACTTATTTTTTTGTTGGCAAATGGACGTCAAGGTTTGGATGTGTTTGTGATTCATGTTCACAGAACTCTTTACCATTCCATTTTTGTTTTGTTTTTTTGTATTCTGATAAGTCCTTTTTTCCAACACTTCAGCAGCTAGAGAAGAGGATAGAGCTTTCTCTCCTGTTCATCTTCCCTCCATTTCTCATTTTTATGAATGCCTGGATTCATATTGTCTTTTATGTCCAGTTTGGGCTCTTCAATGTTATGTTGCACGCATTAAAAGGTTTTGGGGTTCATGTCACCATTTGTTTATCCACTGGGATCCTAAGATGTCACATGACTTATCCCATGTTTCTTTAACAGGTTGGGTTCATCAGTTGATGCATATTGCTTACTCTGGGCTTTCATTGGAAGAACAGAGCCTTATCTTGATGTCCTTGGCAGCTTGGTTGTGTCACTTGCTGGAGGAGATTGTACAGGCTGGTATGTGGGCCACACCTAATACATTTGTATCTCAATATTTACGTGATTTGACGGTTACCTCCTTGGATGGTTTTCGGCTACCCCCATTTCTATTCTCTGTGCCCGGCTAGTTTGTAAGTGAGGGGAGTGACTTAATTTATTTTGGGTTTATTTCTATTATTTTTCAGGAACCCTCTCATCATTTTCATTTGGATCCCATTTTATGGTAGGTGTTGTCTGGTCAAATGTGTTTATTTCTAAATCTGCACTGCCTACCAGTCGACCGATGATGATGAAAAAAAAAAAATTTTTTTTCTTGATAGCAGCAAACTGTGTTGATATGGGAGTTCCATAAGACCACCTTGTGCACTTTCTGGGTGGTAAACAATTATACAACTATGAACAATACACTACCGGACCACCATTCATAGACTATCGGGAGTAAAGCTTAAGGTGATTTTACTCATCCCTAGATTGAATAAATCTGGATCAGTTTGCTTTTCAAAATATGGAATGTGGTTCACCTATTGCACTGTTTCTGCAACATCAATCCTCAGGACCCCCCAATGCCAGTATTACCCCTTTTCTCCTAGTGGAGCATGGGAATTCTTACCGTTCCCAGTCACTGGCATAGTGGACAGAGATCTATTCCCCCTGAGTGATGCTTGAATTTAGTATTCCATTTAAGAAAAAGAGGACAAAGTTGGGTGCCCTCCTATCAATAACCCTGGATGGTCTTCTTGAGAAATGGTAGGAGCAGGATCAGCCTACGTGAAAGTCTCCTTGTAATTCTGGTTCAGAGATGACTCTTTGCTATCTGCTTGCATTGTGTGTGGCCCTTCTTTTTTTGGTCATTATCTTCATTTCAATCATCATGGAAGAGGGTCTTCAACTCCTTGTAACTCCACACGAGGAGCATCAATTCCTGTGCCATTGGTTGAACTTAGTTTGTTCCACATCCTCCTCATAATCCAGGGGCAAGAGGTATTGCCTTGCCTCTCAGCTTGGGGATTTAGGATTGCCATTCTGAATCCCAGGCTGGGTAATCTCTGTTTCTTCAGGCTCAATGAGATGTGAAAGGTACCATAATTCTGAGTTAAGTTTGTTGCATTTTGCACTTCTTCAGGTTGGGGCAAGGGTTTGTCCACTTTGGTGTTGCTTGCCTTCTCTTTGTAATTCTGGTGGCTCAATGTGCAACATTCTATAACTTTCAGGTTAAGTTCCAACAATACCATATTACTAAACAAGACCAAATACAAAGCAGTTCTTCTGCCCTAGCCACTATGCCTTGGATGTAGATTTGGGTCCACAGCTCTATAATTCCAATAACGAGACATGAGACCTCATCTACATGTTTGGGGCCTGGATGAATTGATCTTCATCTAATGATGTTAGGATTTTGCCTCTATGGCCAGTCATGCCTTACCACCTAGAAATTAGATTACATGTTGTCCAGGTGAAGAGCATACCTGTTCCAGAAGTAGTGCAGACCCTACTAGTGTGCTATTACTATATCTCATTTTTGCAAACCTCATTTCTGTTTTTTCATGCAGATGCTTTCTTCTGCCCCTCCACCTTGTCAATGTGGGATTTCAGCTAAAGTGTGAGAAAGATGTTGTTTGGAAGTTTAAATTTTCCTATACTGAAAATTTATTTCTGATAATACTTACCTCCTGTCACACAATCCCGCCCTTCCTTCCCACAATGACCAGTGTTTGGATCTGGTAATTTTGCCAGTCTTGAAAAAGTGATTAAGAAGTAATAACGGGGAGCTTATCTACATATCTGGTATAGAGGACACATTGACGTAGGTGGAGAGAGTCACAAGATTAAAATCAGTGTTATATATTGGGGTACAAAGGCTGGAGCTAGCGAGGTAAGATTCGTACCAATGCTTAGATGGGCAGAGAAGAGAAACATTCATTGGGATAAAGCTAAAATGTGAGAGGAGGTAAGTATTATAGGAAATACATTTTCAGTATAGAAAAATGTTAACTTTCACTTTTAAAATTTCATTGTTGATAAGATAGTTCCATTTTATATCCTTTAATGCATTTCTTTTGATACTTTGTTTGATGATTGCAGTAGTCACCATTCACAGCTTTAAACTACAAAATACACCATAGATGTCAATAACTGGTTTATGAAACTATTTTATTACTATTGGAGAAGAAAGATGTCTTCAATTTACACTGTCAGTTAAATCAAAGATAGTTTTAAAATTAATGTGAAAAATGTTTCATTAAACTTGATGAAAAAAAAATTTATAATGTGAAGAAGGTATTAAAATGGTTTTAAAATTCTGTAGTATGATGGTTTCCTTAAATGTTTCTGGTAATAAAAACATCCAAACTTATAAAGCAGTACTTGTTTTTTGAGTGATTAGAGATTATGATGGCCACTTCTATATCCGTGAAAATCAAGGAAGATATTTAGCAGGAGGATTTGAACCTATTTCAAAGCCTTTGGACCTGAAGGAATTACCTGGGTCCTTTAAACCTTTACCAGAAGATTGGGATCAGTTTTGTAAGTCAATTTTGTGCTGTTGTAAATATTTTTTGAAAGAAATACCAGTAGAATATACTATACATACTTACACAATTATATGCTTATAATACACAGAAGTAAATGACACATACAAAATCCATAAAACATCTGCTTTAACAGTATGTAACTTCTGGAATGGAGTAGTAGTAAGAATAGATTCAAATTAGTTTCACTTAACTCTGAAGTACTGAAAACCTTTTCTTGTGGAGTTTGAAATAATGCTGTCAACAAAGCATGTGATGAAAAAATTCTGAATGTCCTTTTCACATTGCAGAACATACATCACTTACCCATAATTCTCCAATCTCCCAACTTCCATGTGACTTATTTTGTAAGTCTCAGTATATCTTACATAAACTCTGCTTTTCTACCTTAATTTTCTTCTTGACAGCTGTTGTTCATTTTACATTAGTGTTCTTTCTGATGCAACTATTTACACTGCTATCAGAATTTCTGTAACTTCGTTGGAAGCCTTACTTATGCAACTTGCCTGCATTGTGCAGGTCAAATTTTAGTTACTATTTCAGCTGCTATCCTTCAACATATTTGTACCATTGTATTTAGATATTTCTGGCAGGTGTCATGATTGTGTGACTGTTTAATGTTTGCCATTTTCTTTAATTTGTGATGAATGTTGATTTTTTTTCATAACAGTATTCAGTCTGCAGAGCTGAATTTGTCTGCTACAGTGCTTGCCCTAATTCTGATCATACTTCTACTGATCTCCTTTTTTTTTCTCTTATCTGTGTTATATATTTCAGTATTGAGCCTATTTCTGTTACACCTAAAGGTGCTTGCATTATGTGAAATGATTTCACTTTATTCTTTTATCACTCTCACCTTCTTGTGATATTGGGGTTTTGGATATTTTTAGAAACTAATTTGAAGGCTATAAAAATTATGCTTTGCCTGAGTAATAACTATATTATAATGAGTAATTTATGTTAAATTCCTTACTTTTGGGAGGGGGGTATATAAGTTAGAGAAGAGGAGAGACCTAGTAAACAAATTACCAATTCTCATACTATGTTGAGATTGAGGATTTTTTTTTTTCCTTATAAAATTAAAACTTGTATCAAAATTTGGTATATTACCTATGTTTTGGTGCCAAGTGTATTCATATACATTGATAATAAAGTAGTTTAATTAAATTTTGAATCTAACTATAAAAAAAGGTTGTGACATGCAGAAAAGGGTACCCTTAGTGAAAGAGTTATTGTTTAAACTTATGGGCATGGATTATTTTAAGAGTTATTAAAAACTAAGTCAGAAATATAGATACAAATTTAGGTAAGAATTTTTTTGACTTACACTTTTACTAGTTTTATAAAGTACCTGAAATATTTAGATGAAGTTTTAAGTACATTTTTATGAGTTATCTTGATTTAAAAAAAAGCCATTCATTAGTTCTGTTGGTGCAAATGGTCAGTGTTTAGTTCAGCACTAGGCAAGAAACCCAGAGGTTGTGGTGGCAAGTATTTACCACTTATGTAGAAGCTGATTGCCTCATAGGAAGTAGAAGAAGGTTCCTTTAAGCAGTTATATACTTTCCTATTGATTCCCCATATACATATGTGCTTTTCCTTGTTACATCTTACATGCTTTGTTTTCCAGCAGTCTTATTCTCTCTGAATGTTTATGAAGGTCTTCAATGGTTACTTTTTTTTTCACCTTAGTAGTGCAGAGGAGGTCAATATCCTCCCAATTGGGTAGTGCCAGAGTTTGTGTAGGAGTTTTTGCAAGATTCTCAGTTTTGTTCTTTACCTTTACCCCAACATGGCATGGAACATAAATCTTGGATATAAGTTGTGTTGATGTAAATCTTACAACCATTTCTCAAGAAAAAAAACAACTCTTCTTGTTATGGTCAGATGATTATGTCTCAAGTAATAACCATTGTTTTAAGTTAGCTTGCTTACTTTTGTTGTTCACCTTCTTAAAGTTTAGGCAAATATTGTGAAGCTTGTAATGGTAGTTTTAGCTGTATGCCTGGTCTTGGGAGTCAAGTACAATGTCTTGAATCAAAATTAGGAATGTGTTACTTTTACAAAATGTGTGAAATTCACTTTTTAGGGATTAGTCCAAAACAAACAACCACATTTTTTACACCCTTGATGCCACAGCTAACCTATATCAGTCCAACTTGGATAGGTCCTTGCCACCTTGTTACATCTACTTAATATTCACATCTGTTATAAACATTCAAGTACAATGTGTTGTAATATGTTTTTAATAAAATGGTTAGAAAAATGCTGTTCATTGTTGTTTTGTGCACATTTAGAATCTGTTTTAATATGTAGGTTTTTGTCATTTCTGAACAAATAACAAGACACATTTTGAACACGTATATTAGGGTTATACATAAAAGGTTTAAGATTTAAAAAAAATTGTTAGATTTTGATGTTTAGTTTCAAACAGACTGAAAAATGAATAGCCATGTGTGTATAGCAGAAATAATACTTAATGTTGAAAATGTGTTTGAGTGATTATATGGGTAAAATTCTTCACATTACCAAGAGCTATAAACACATCTAACACCAGCAGTATCGGTTTATCATTATCAGTATCTTATCCCCCAAACTGAGCATACATTTTATTAGCCATTATTAATATCAGTGAAAGACAAAAAGGATTGGTAAAAACTTGGCCTCTCAAAGTCCAGCAAAATTCCTACAAAAAAAACATTACTTGTTTTATCTCCATATCAAATTCCAGATATATATCATGACATTATTTCTTAATCTTGTGTTACATAAATATCATAAGCTAAATATTTCTGTAACATATGATTATATCTTTATTCATACAGTTTTTAAAAACTTATTACAGGTTATGGATAGTTTTTATGTTTAAAAACATGAGCACAGCTTGTCTGTCTTCCCCTGTAGCCTACTTGCTAGACAGCAAGTTCAGTTGATTTCAGTAGGATTGACTTGTATGCTTTTATTTTCTTCAACCAGAATTCATGAAGTGTATTTATTTAATAATGTATTGTTTCTACCTGTGGAACATTTTGTACTAGTCTCTCTATTTAATGTTAAATCTGACTTTAAGACTCAAAATTCTGCAAATATTGTTAACCCTTTATATTTCTCAGTTATAATAGCTTTCCTTTAATGTTAGCATTGGCATGTACTTTTCATGATTTCATGAGATGACTTATTTATTTAAGTTCATACTTGTATATTAAAATATATAAACTTGTATTTTTAAATACTTTTTATTTTAAAATTAGATTATGAGAAATGAAAGAGGGTTTAAGGCGACTGTAGGCTAGTTGAACTTGAATAGTTAAGTTCTGAAAAACTAACACAGTAAGTCAAATTTAGTATGTTTTTTGTGTGTTAACATCTAATTCACAAGAGCTACACTGGTTAGGTTAAATACTAACACTAACCACCATCATGGTAAACCTAGTTCATTTCTTTACATATAGACTTAACATATAATTCACAAAGGTTACACAACTATACCATATTTGTTAAGTCCTGACCTACCGTCATCTTTAGGCACACTAAATACTGATGTACCATAAAGCTGGGTTCCAAAGTTTGCATATTTCCTGTGGATTTGGGCTTCATTTTTTTTACAATCACTTTGATGCTATTTTATGTTATTATAGCTTTTTAACAGAATTCCATTGCTTCATGCTGGTTAGTTAAAGAGTGGCATGTTATGGGCTTTTCTGAGAGCCTATAGGGCTTGTTTTTGTTGTAAAATCTGCCAAAACTGTATCACTGTATATGAAAAAACTTGCCATTAAAATGTAGTCACTAAAACAAATTTAAATATTATATAAGTTTTAAGTTCTTAATTTATAAGAATATGTTTTTAAAATATCTTCAATCCCCCCTAGTTTGAGAATTATGACATTTGTTCTCTAAGTTTTCTCCCTTCTATGAATTATTTACCACCCTTTTGAAGTATGGAATTTAATGTATGTTACTCATTATAATATAGATATTACTAAGGCAGAGTCTAATTTTTATTTCCTTCAATCTTATTTGTTTATGGAGTCATAAACTACAAAATCACACCCACTTGCCATGCCCAAATATCACATCTTCTCTTTCACAAATCACTAATTGTTATCTCTGACATTTTATATTATATTATATATAACCAATAGAGAGGCAATGTTTCAATCAATCAAATGACAACCACATTACATTGTTTTCAGTACAGAGTATTGTCCGTTTCATCTTTACTTTGAAAGTTTGTTTATTTGTTTGTCTTTTAATGTACTTCTTCCTTTTATTCTGTATTTTAATTACTTTTTATAAAATGTTTAAATTTATAATTTTTGTACCTAATAATTTATCCTGTTCAACATAGCTTGCTGAAGATGGACTATGTATATTCCAAAACGTTCAAGAATTAAATGTTTGTTACTGTACACACACATGTCAAATGTTCATTGTTGCTGCCGTCATTCTGTTGTTCATCATTAAACTAATTCCTATCGGTTGAATCTGTTACTTAAGGAATTATTTAAAGACTCTTTTGCAATAGTTAAAAACCAATTAAATTATAATACTTATAAGACATTGTTTGCTTTATGTATGTTGTTACTCTGTATTCTTAGGTGCATTATTTAAGTAAATAAAAATTGTTCAGTGGACTTGTACCATCATTATAAAAAAAAAAAAAATAAAAAAAAAATAAGCTTAAATTTCATCAGCAACCGACAGCAAAAAAATAAGAGGTTAAATGTAAGTACTATATTCTTTGTTTTTCAAGTATATTCATTATTTATTGTTATAAAAGTAACCAAAATATGTAAATTAGATACTTTTTATGTTAGATAAGATTAGTTTACACAAGATAATGGAAAATAAATTATTTTACAGTGTGAGTTAGCAAGCAGCTCATGTATTATGTCATTCAATAAGATAATGTGAGCTATGGGTTTGCTGAGCAATTTACAGCTTGTGTGGTAGGATTATGAGTTAGACACAGTTCGAAGGACAATAAAACAATAAAATTAAGTATAAACAGATGTGAATGTTACAAGCTTTAAGCTATTTAGGATGAACAATTGTAGTTTCATGTTATAATTTGCAGTCATTCTAGAAAGAAAATAGAATAATTTAGATTTATGTCATTTATTTGTGGTGGATACAAGGTCGGTCAAATTGATTGAATCTGTTCAGAGTTAGGGTAGAGAAAGTAGATAAAATATAAAGTTTTACTGAAAAAAAAAGTTTCATATTTATTTTGAAGGTTTTAGAGGTTGTACAAATGAAATTTTAAAATTTTAACTTGAAGAAAAGTATTTTAATCTTAACATGAAAATTACTTTGTACTTGGAACAGTCAAACTCTGACTCCATATATTTACAAACAAAGTTTTAGTAAAAATACTAATAACAAATTTCATTTTTTGTGTACTATAGACTTCAAGAGTTTACTAAAAGCTTGCCAAATTTCATGAAGATACATTATGTACTTTCGTAGTTGTAGTGTGTATACTTTCATAGTTTCATGGCGGTTACAAAGTTGAGTAAAATAAGAGTTAAAATAATTTTGTTGGAGAATTATATTAATACATTTCTCCCTTGATAATTATCTCATTAGGTCACCTTATATAGAACAATGATATGTAAGTTGATTAGAAACATTGAATATTTTCAAGTATGGTGTTTAACTCTTTCAGCATGGGCTCAGTCCCTGGGGCGAACCTCGTAACCATTTTGTTCTTGTTATAGTTTTTATGCTATAACTTTTAAATTAGTAAGCAAATGTTAATGAAATTTGGCACATTATCAGTAAACATTACAATGTTTTCATACACAAAATATAATTTCTATTTATTAAGTATTAAGGTTTGTAAAGCAATGTTTTTCTCATGTCCTTTTTTTTTCCTTTTCAATCCAGAAGTTACAATGACATGGCACATGTGCACTCATGTTACACTATCCAATAATATAAAACTGACCTTTAGTCTTTACAAAGTGACATGTCTTGGCTGTGTTTTAGTAGACTAGTATTTTGTAAAATACAGTCACATTACAATTATTATACATTATATATGTATATAGATTATTGGTATTTATAAATAAGTTCTTTAACTTAATTTTCTTAAAACATAGAACAGTAAATAAAGAAGTAAAGCAAACCATTATCTCTTCTAGTTATGACCTAAGTTGCTAAGCTTATTAAAATTTTGCATATGAAGGATATGAAACAAAATGTTTTTTTAGGTTTTATTTATACATTTGAATAACTAAAAAAATCTTAAATTACTACATTAATACCATGGAATTCCACTATAATTTATCAAGCTTAGTAACTAAGATGTATTTTAGTCTAATAAAATATGAAATTTTGAGCAGACTAAAGACACATCCTACCTCATTGAAATAATGGTTCAAAAGAAAGATATGGCATCCAAGCCCATTAAAATGGCTGAAAAAGCCACTAGCGGGACATTCTGAGTTTGTATTGGTTATTCATGTCATATATAAAAGTAATTATACACAAGGGAGTGTTTCCAAAAATGGAAAGAGGTGGGTGGGGTGCCACTGTGTTTGATTTATTACATAAGCAAATAGAAAAGATAAGATGTTCTTATTTTATATTCTAGCTTGTCAATATCGGCAATTTGAGTTTCTAATTTGTACAAAACTACAGACTCAGTATTTTGACTTCAAAAACATCTAATTTGAACCATACCACATGACACACAAAAGTCAATCTTTATCTGTGTTTTTTAATATTTGCTCTAAAATTACAAAATTGAGTAATATATAGTACTAAAATTTGAATTATAATCTACAGCTTGATACCAAATTTATTGACATAAATTTATGAAATAGTAATTCAATAAAATTTTGAATGCGAGTCAACAAACGAGATGACATTGCCTTTCACCAGTGACCCGCTTACTAATGTTATTTATATCAGTAGAGAAAAAACATATTCTTTTATTATTCAGCTCTTTATTTACAGAACTATAGTGCCATATGACATTAGTGCATGAGATCTTAAGATTATTTGGAAATAAATTTAAATTAAGACCTAATAAGTACTTTTATGATATACTTCATGGGCCCTTTCTTGGCTCAGTGGTAAGTCTGAGGGCTTACACTGATAAAATTCAGATTTTTATTCCATACAGTGTACAAAGCATAAGTAGCCCATGTGCTTAACAGCAAAGGAACAGACAATATACTTCACATCTAACAGATTTGCCAGTAGCCTTTTATAACATTACTGACATTCCATTGTGAAATTCATATTCCAGTAGTTACTGTTGAGATTTATTAAGGAACTGTGCACTGAATCACTAAAGTTGGTACATGCTTCAGTATTTAGTGTTGAGGTTTCTTCAGAAACTGTACACAAAATCACTAAAGTTGGTACATACTCCAGATATTGCTATTGAGATTTCTTCAGAAATGGAAACATGAGTACAGAATCACTAAAGATTGTACATACTCCAGTATTTACAGTTGAGATTGCTTCAAAAACTGTGCATAGATTAACTAAAGTTTGTACATATTCTAGTATTTAGTATTGAGGTTTCTTCAGAAGCTGTGCACAGAATCACTGACATTAGTATATGCAATATTTACTATTGAAGTTTCTTTAGTACAGTAACTATGTAAAGATTCTCTGAGGCTGGTACATACTCTAATATTTACTGTTCAGGTTTCTTCAGAAACTGTGCACAAAAATCACTGAGGTGAGTACATACCCTAGTACCTACTGTTGAGGTTTCTTCAGAAACTGCACAACATTGTCAAGATTAGTACATGTTTTAGTATTTACTGTTGAGATTTCTTCAGAAACTGTGCACCGTATTAACTATTTAGATGTTTATCAGAATCTGTGCTCAAAATCACTGAGGTGTTTACATTCACCAGTTTTTCTAATGTTTATTCAGTAACTGTGCACAGAATCACAAAAGTTTGTGCATATTCCGATATTTAATATTGAGTTTTCTTCAGAAACTGTGCACAGAATCTTTGAGATTGATATGTACTCCAGTATTTATTGTTGAGGTTTCTTCAGAAACTTGTACAGATTGACTAAAGTTTGTACATACTCTAGTATTTAGTATTGAGGTTTCTTTAGATTATGTCCACAGAATCACTGTGGTTGGAAGATATACCAGTATTTACTAAAGTTTCTTCAGAAACTGTGTACAGAATCAATGTGGTGTGTACATGGTCCAGTATTTACTGTTGAGGTTTCTTTGGAAACTGAGACTTTGGTCTAGAATCACTTAAGTTGATGCATACTCCAATATTTACTGTTGTGGTTTCTTCAGAAACTTTGCACAGATTCACTAAAGATTGTACATACTATGATATTTAGTACTGAGATTTCTTCACAAACTGTACACAGAATCTCTAAGGTTTCTTCACACTATAGTTTTTACTTGTGAGGTTTCTTCACAAACTGTGCTCAGAATCACTCAAATTTTTATATACACCAGTATTTACAAAGGTTTTTCAGAAACTGTGCAAAGAATCACTAAAGATGGTATGTACTCCAGTATTTATTGTTGCAATTTCTTCAGAAACTGTGAACAGAATCATTGAGGTTGATGCATACTCCAGTATTTATGTTGAGTTTTCTTCAGAAACTGATACTTGGACACAGAATCACTAAATGTGGTACATATTCTAGTATTTAATGTTGAGGTTTCTTCATAATCTGAGACATGGACATGGAATTGCTAAAATTAATAAATGTATTTTTAACATGAGTGCAGTTTTTGGTAATAGGACAGTCTTTTAGCCTTTACTTTTTTGAAAACAAAGAGAATTGAGAGGCCAAGAGTGGAGCTAAGTTTAGTAAAAGAATTCAAGAACTATTCTGTATAGGAGAACACAAATTATTATTTCCCTCTTGATAGATAGTTGGACTACACTTAGCTGTATAGTCTTATTGAAGTGAATTTAGCATCAAAACTATCACAATAAACTCCAGTATTAAACATCAAATCTTTCACAAAGTACAAACTGTTAACAGTATACTCATTATTACTATTTTAGTTTTTGCTAAAAACTAAAAATTTAGGTTTATATATCAGTTTGAAACATCCAAATAAATTTTTGGATAGCAATCAGATAGTATGGTTTTAAGGTGTTCTGTATGAATTGTTTTTTTTTTCTTAAATTTTATGTCCTTCAAAAATGCTTACAAAATATACACAATCACAGTTCAAATAAAAAATGTCTAGGTGTTGTGCTATATTAATTATGTTTAATGAATTTGATGGATTCTTAATCAAAATATAATTATGAATAATGTCTAATTAATTGAAAATATTCTAATAACAATATCATGTTTTTTTTGTTTGTTTTCCCAATAGATGTTTTATTAGAACAAATGCTATTTCGCATCCCTTCTTTGGCAGAAGTTGAAGTTGACAGACTATGTAATGGACCAGAAAGCTTCACTCCAGATTGTAAATGGATCATGGGAGAAGCACCTGAGGTATTGAAATGCAAATAGTCATTGCATAAATATAAAACAAATGTGCTGAGGATATTGTAGGTATATCCACTACACAAATATTAATTATGCTATAATTTTAATAGTTCAATAATTTGAAGCAGCACATACAGATAAAGGGAGTCATTTAAATTCTGCTTGGGTCCTTTAAGATTTAATGTAGTTATTTCTATTTCTATGCAGTTGTTTCTAATCGTTTTTTTTATACCATGAATTGCCTCAAATATATTGTTGTCAAAATATAACTAAATACACAATTAAAATATTAAAAATAGAAATGAATTTAATAAATCATAAAGTGTTAAGTTACCCAGGAAATTATTTTAAAGAATAAAAAAAACTATTGCTAGGTAGAGAGAAAGTAAGTGCAGAGAAAATAATAAATAAAGAGAATCTAAACTGCTAGAATAGTAACAAGCTAAAAGGAAAATTTTGTTTGTGATTAATGGTATTTACCTATGTATTCCTGGTGAAAATTTAGAAATCTAGAATGAATCATAAATAAAATGTTTTAGCTTGAAATATTTTTGTTATTACAGAAAAGTAAAAATATAATAATTTTCAAGCCCAGAATAAGTTTAAAATTTTTTTTCAAATAATTATTTCAAAGTAATAAACATTGAAAGAAGTTCCTATTACATGTTATAAGTTGTGTGAGATTAGAAAATAAAAATATTCTACTTTGTGCACTAATAATATATGAAAGTAGTTCCATGAAAATCTTTATGACCTATGGTATAAAAATATCAAGTCATCATTATAGATTATTAATTCCAGTAGGATCTTACCTCCTTTAACACAAAGCTATCTCGACCTTCTATCTGCCTTCTAAGCATTGTTAAAAATTTTCATGCTCAGTGCACCAGTCTATATACTCCATTAATTTCTCACCATTTTTGAACATGTACCTATCATGTGACTACTCTCTACCAATAGTATTGTGCCACCTATATTGGTGCAGCTAGCTCCCTCTGTTATTCCCGTTCAATCCTCACTTTCTCGATTGGCACAGAATTGTTTAGATGTGTGTTTTTTCTCACATGGCTACTGTTTATGAACGTTCTTCTTTGCCATTTCAATTTTTTTTCAACAGTTTTGTTTTACTGTGTTTTTTTATTGCATTTATTTCTTGTTGCCGGATTATAAGATATCTTAGTGTGAATTTGCAATCAATGTATCGACTACAGAAATTCCCATTGCAATTGAAAAAGCTACTGGTACAAATTCCCAGGAATCAGGTTTGACTTTATCTGCAGAGGAAATACAGGCCTTAATTTGCCTTGAGCTAGATTCACATGTTCAGCCAGTGATTTCTTCTCCTTTTCAACATGACAATGTTTCTGAGGATGAATACAATCAATGAGAAGACAATTTGGACTGGCACTTTCTTATTTTGGTCTGTCACACACTATACCTTTTCAGGTGTTTCCACCTTCCACCAGTTGCTGTGCCACCACATCATTCACTTTGGTGGGGAATTGTTTTCTTCCTCCTTTCTTCATATTGCTTCCAGTTCTCCCAGGGGATCTGTGGTAAGTTTTTCGACATGTACACTTCACACATGGTTGATATACCTGTGTTAGGTGTGGCTCAGATGCCATTTGTGTGGCTTTGTCATTATTTACACATGGGAGAATTCAGTACTCAGACTTTGGAAAGTTAGATATTTATATGTCTTTTGTCATTTGAGTTACTTCAAATGAATTGTAAGTTAGATATTAATTATTACTTTGCTTTCTGGTAAGTTTAATAGTTTTGCACGTTCATTACTGTTAAGTACTTCGTGGGTTTTTAAGTTTGTTATTAATAAGTACTTGAACTAGGTATATTTAGATAGTTTGTAAGTTACATATCAGTGACATCTAATTCAGCTAAGACAGTTTCATTTTTCTAACAAGGTGGTTGGCCTTTGGAATGAGTTGACTTCAGTTGTTGTAGAGGCAGTAAATTTAAGTGAGTTTAAGAAAAAGAAAAAGCTTGATAAATATATGAATGAAAAGGGCTGGGTTTAAAAATTTTTATTTTATTTTTGTTAATCATTTTAATTTAGTTTAGAGGATGGAACAACCGAGATGGACCAATAGGTCCCATGTTGTCCCAAAACATTATGTTATGTTAATTATGTGTTCTTTGTTGTCTGAGTTAATTTAGATTAATTGTAAGTTAGATATTGATTATTAATGTGTTTTCTAGGTAATTTTAGTTGGTTTGCACGTTTGTTATTATTACACACTTTGTGAACTAGGTAAATTTAGATGGTTTGTCCATTTGATATTTATAAGTACTTTTATTAAGTAGGTATGTTTAGATAGTTTGTTCATTACTACTAGTAATATATAATTCATTGTTCTATCTGAATAATTTTTTTCATCAGTATAGGATTTAAATTTTTTAGCTTTGTTACACCGCTGATGTGTTCATTCCTTTCCCGTTCATAGGGCTGAGCTTTGCTTTCGCTCTTTTTCCTACTTGCATGACACTAGAAACATCATTTTGTCCTTGTAATCTACAATTCAGGGTTATTCCATACAGTGTCCACATCGTCTATAGTTATTTATTGCTCCAAGACTAGTGTTCCAGTTCAGGGCCCTACTGTTTGGACCAACCTCGGCTCTTTAAATGTTTTGTCGGGGGTACAAACTCCTTCCCAACGTCTTCATTTTCTAAATTCTTGCACTATTTTTTCTATGGATAACTGACTCCTGCTTGTATCTTCCCATTCACAGTTCAGAGACCACACTCATCTGCTCTTACAAGCAGCAGCATTGATGAGATTCCTAATGACAGTAGGGAAGTCCATTCTTACCCCCACTTAATACCCATTAATTTGGGTGGTTTTATTTATTCCAACCTCAATCGGGCCCAGCCTTCTCCTCTTCATCTTCAGGTTTAGATCAGGCAGTGCACAAGTCCCTCACTTCACATTTCTTACATTACGAGATGTTCTATCTCTTTGGGGATGAGTGCTTCCTTGATTTTCCATGGATTGGGCTCATGTGCATTCCCTCCGGTGGACACTCCTAGATCAGTGGAACTCCTCACCCTTTTACATTTCCTTCACCAATCAGAGCCGACCTGGCTTGGTGGTTGGGCAGAGACCAGACTGTGGTGGAGGTACTGCTTACTCCATATCGTCTTGATTTACACCTGTTTCCAGACTTATATTTAGAGAGTTAGGGTTCTTATCTCAACTCCCAGGAGATTTCTGATCTCTGGCCAGTAAAGGAGTCTTCTTTCCATATCACCACTTTCGAGCCTTTGGTGGTTTGTCGAGCTTTCTCCCACTTTCTTCCTGTGGGGAGGATGGTTATAGTACATTCTCACGTCTCCACAGTGGTCATTTATGTCACATAACAAGGGGGTACCAATTCCAAGTCTTTGTGCTTTCAGATTTTAGATCTCCTTTTTGAGCCCACAGTCACACATTGTGGTCTTAACTTGCCATTTTCCTGGCTCCCTGAATCTGGTTATGGATCAGTTATCTCCTTCCTATTTGACTCATCTCCAGAGTTCGTTCCATAATCCAAGCCACTCTGTGTCTAGTCCTACTGGTGGCTCTGAATTGGCTGTCACAACCATGGTTCCCACTGCTCCAGCCTTTACTTGTACAATTTCCTCTACCCTTACCTCTGTCTTGGTCCCTATTCTGTCAACCTTGGTCAGACATTGTTCATACAGAGGTCACTACACACTGTTTTCATGCATGGTTTTTGACAGGTCCATTGTCTAAGCCCAAGGACTGCTCCACATGTTGCATCTTTCCTTTCCTGATACATTAGACCTTCTTAAATGTCCATTTACCACAGACAATGGTATACCTTCAGCCTTTAGTCTCTTTGACGTGGTTTCCATCCATCCAACCCTTCAACCATTCACCTGGTTCTTTGACAAAGGTGTGTCCACATTGATCGTGTCTAGCTATCAGGCAGCCTAGTCGAACACCTTCTGTTTCTACAGGTTTCATCTAGTTTTGTCTTCTCCCATCATTTCTCTCCTTTTATGCACCTTTAGAGTCCTGCATCATCCACATTCCTTTGTTTTGCTTGATTGGGATCTCAGTGTTGTCATTTATGCCTTTCCTATCCTTCCTTTGTACCTTTGTCTTCATGATTCATCTACCATCGCAAGACCTATTTCCTTCTTCTCTTTGTTGCAGACATCATAGATCAGATATTTATGCCTTTACTGTTACCTGCATTCTCTACCAGTTCTCTTATGTTATCCTATATCCCAAACAGTCATTCTTCCTGCAGACAATTGCTACACATGAAGGCTGTTTGGCTTTCACATCCATTTTTTTCTTTCCATCTCCCACTGGTACTCCCATTCTGATCTTGATCGTCTTCTTTGTCTGGTTAGCTCCTAACAGTGCTATGTGGCACTTCCTGCCTTCTTTCAGGCTTCAAATTCCCGAGTATCTATTTCCAGAAACCCTTCTGTTTCCCATGATCTATCCCCTTTTATGCTAACTGGTTGGGTTTGTCCACTAGTTAGGTTGCCATATTCAGACTTATCCATGAAAGGTCACCATCTCCACAACGTTTCTTTTTTTTTCAAGTTCGTCATATTACCATGTCTTTGGCTGCTCACCTTCGTATTCAGTCTTATACATGGAAGATCACCAACTACTCTACAACATTTCTTCTTTTCAAATTTTTCCTATCACCATGTCTTTGGCTGCCTATTTTCATCGTCTTTTGGAGGAACTTGCTCACTCCAAAGATGTGGTATTCCACAAGACCACCGGTGGCATACCCAGTGGTGTATATATATGTTTCTAGATATCAATATGCTTCACTCAATGGTGGACCATGAGTAAAGCAGTTTGATTGAATAAATTGGGGTTGGTCTGCTTTTCAAAATAGGGAATCACAGACACCTATTGCACGTTCTCTGATGTGAACGTTTCTCTGGACTCTCACTGCCTTTGTTTCCCCACTCCCCCCCCCCACCCCACCACCACCACCACCACCACCTTTTTT